GTGTGCCCACGTCTGGGTGAGGGGGTAACGGCGCAGGGTCCCCCATGCCAGCAGCAACGGGCACTCATTCATTCATTCATTCATTCATTCCCTGAACCAACGCTGCGTTCACTTTTCAGATTTTGTTTTTGGAGGGAGGAATCTCAGCCACTTTTATTTCCCCGAGACATGGGGTCACCAAGCCTCAGGTGTATTATTATCATTATTAATAGTTTGGGGGGTCGGACCGGCCATGCTTAGGGATTACTCCAGGCTTTGCACTTAGGAATTACTCCTGGGGGGTGCTTGGGGGACCACATGGGATGAACCCGGGTCAGCGGCCTGCAGGGCAAACTCCCTACCCGCTGTCCCATTGCTGGGGCCCCAGCAAGCCTTAGACCCGGCGGTCCCCCCACCTGGTTCCCTCCCAGATGTTCAGGGCGCTGGAGACCTCTGAGGTGCCCGAGTCACGAACTGACCGAGGGGAAGTTTCCACAATGTGCCTCTGAGCCCTAAAGGGCATAAAACCGCCCCTGTGCGGGGGCTGCCCGGGAGACAAGGTTGAAAATCCCGGCCACCTGCTGCCGGGAGGCGGCACTGGCCATCTGCAGCCACTGGCCGGCCGAATGGGGCGGGCGGAGAAGACCCTTTCCAAAGAGGTGAGTTTATAGCTCTGGGGGGGAGGAGGACGGGGAGGAGGGACCGCATTCCAGGTGTGTCGTCCAATCGCGATAGTCCCGGTGGCGCGGGATTGCCTCCCCCTTCCCCCTCCGGTGAATTAAAGAAACGCTCGGAGCCTTTTACGGCACCGGCCCGGGCCCTTGGGGGAGCGCTTTCCTGCGCGCTCCTTCCCGAGCCTCCTGCCGCTCCAGCCGCCGCCAGCCGGGCCCATGAATCTCCAGTTCCTGCGGGTGAGCGACGGCTGGGCGGGGGGCGGCGGGCCGGGGGGCGCCCGGGCCCGGCAGCGGGGAGCACCTGGCGGCGACGGCTGCGCGGGGAGCCCCGGGGTGCCGCCCCGTTTGGCCGGGGACGCCGAGCCCGCGCCGCCGGGCGCCTTGGCCACCGCGCCGGCCTCCTCCCCGCCTGGCGGCGAGCACATAAATACCGTCGAGGCCGCGGGGCGCAGCGGGCGGGCTGGGGAGTGGACTGTGCGGTTCGGGGCTGTGCTGCCCCGCGGGGACACTGGGCCGGGCTCCCAGCAGCGCCCCAGGACATTCGGGGGTGGGGTGGGGTGGGGTGCGGGACAGGTGACAGGCGCCCGAGGGCGGGATTCGCACCCCCGCGCCCTGTGCACCGGCGCTTTCTCGTGCGTAACCGTCCGGGGCAGGGGGCCCGGCCGGCCGCTGCCCGCGCCGTGCCGGCACTCGGGGGGTCGCCGGGCCCCTCGAAAGTGCATCTTCGTTGGCTGCGCCTCGGGGCGAAGACTTGTCCTCCTCCTCCTCGGAGAGCCGGTGCCCGCGACGGCGGCGGCGGCGGGGGCTCGGCGCGTCCTGCCTCTGCGCCCTGGGAAGCGCCCAGGGCTGCGCGGGGCCCCGAGCCCCGGGGCGCACAGGTGGCGGCTTCGGTCCCGGCGCGTGGCTCTTAAGTGCCCGGGGACGGCACCCGGGGCTCCGGCGAAAGGCACCTCCCGGCGCCCCGCGGCGAGCTGGCTGCCAAGCCCTAACCCGGGGCGGGAGCGCCAGGGCGGCGGACGGGGCGCGCGCCTCGCCGGGGGTCGAGCCGGGTTCGATCCCGGGCACCCCCCAGGGGACCCGGGATTGATCCGAGGAGGCGCGGGAGCGAGCCGGGTGCACCGCCGCCGTGTGGCCCAAAACGAACAACAAAACACCTTCAATTTTAGAAAAAGAACTGGATTTTATAACTCTCGTGCAGTTTTTTTTTTTTTTTTAATTTTTGGCGTTTGGGGCCACTCACGCCCGGCTGTGCTGAGGGCTTCCTCCTGGCTCTTCGCTCAGGGAATCGCTTTTTTTTTTCCCTCGGAGTGTGTACGTTGGGCCACACCCCGGCCTTGCTGAGGGCTGACCCCGGCGGGGCTGGGGGGAGGGGTGGATGGGGGTCTTTAAGTGGTACCAGGGCCGGAGCCCAGGTGGGCCGCGCGCAAAGCGAGCGCCCTCCCGGCTGGCTGTCCTATCGCTCTGGTCCCAGGGGTCTCTCTTGGAGGGGGTGGCGGGACCCTATACGGTGTCCGGCCGCGAAGCCCCCGGTCAGCAACCTGCAAGGAAACTGCCCTCCCCTGCTGTCCCCTCCCTCTGGCCGCTTGGTCCTCAATCTTGATGTAGGACGCCCCCAGGGTAGCACCTTAGCGAACTTAGTTCCGGGTGCCCTTTGACAGCCTATGTGTCGGGGAAGGGCGCAGGGAGAGGGGCCGCGCTGGAGGGGCGCCCGCCCGCCCCGCCGCTGCAGGCCCGGGGAGGGGAGGGTCTGCACCCCAGCCCCGCCCTTGGTGGGGTCTCCAGGGGCGGGACCAGCATCTCGCGCGCCGCGCGGCCGCCGCTAAGGCGCTCGCGGGGCCTCCACCTGCCGGGGGGAGACGCCCCCCCTCCCCGGGGTGGGGCGGGCGGAGGAGTGGGCGTTCCGCCCCCCCACCTCGCGCCCCCCAGCTCCGGCCTGCGAGGAAGCTCGTTTCCCCAGGCGTGCGCCCGCTCGGACGTGGCGGACGCTATTGCGGGCCTGGCCAGCGTCTCTTGGTCACCAGGGGAGGATTGGGGTCAGGGTCGGGGGGGCCTTTCAGTGGGTTCAGGCCCCAGCTGGCCACCCTTCACACCCAGGTCCCGAACTTGGCGACGTGTGGCTGGAGCGTCTCTTGTTCCCCCCACCAGTTCCGGGAGCACTTAGGCGACCGCCGCGAGACTCCCCCGCGCACTGGCCGGGCGCATCCCGGGGCCTGAGCGCCCAGGCTGGCCTAGGACACGCGGTCCGTGCCTCCCCGCCACGCGGACACAGGGGATGGGGGGCTTTCGAGGAAGGGCTTTTCCCTACCCCGACCCCGACCCCTTCACTCCCGGCCCTGGAATTCGGGAATTGGGAAAAGCGGAGCTTCAAGGAAGGCCCGCGGCGTCCGTGCAGGCGGGTGCGCCGCAAGCCCGGGTTCAGGGCCGAGCCCAGGCCGTGGGCCCTCGGCAGGGTCTCCCGACGCTGGGGGGAACTTTGGGGATGGATGCCTCTACCCTCCCCGACGTGGAGCAGAAGAGCACCCTGTAGAGGGGGCAGGGCGGGCCTGAGTGCTGTTTAGGAACGAGCGGCTCATGCAAGGGCTTTGGGGGTCCCCAGGGCTCTGCCAACCCGAGGTGCTCAGGCCCTCTGGACCCGCTCGCTCTGCCCTCCACTGACACGGGCTCCCTCACGCCCCACGACAGCTTCGGGGAGCAAGGCCGGCTGTGGGTGGGCCCGCGCGCGCGTGGACACCGTTGTCCAGTCTCGGCCACCACCTGTCGGGGTTAAACCTGCAGATACGAGGCATGGGGACATGTTCCCGGGGCGCCCCCGCACCGGGTCTTGCAGGCCCAGCGTGGAGCAGAGTCCCTCTGGCAGGCAACGGGGGCCCCTCACCTCCCTGTCGCGGGGCTGCAGTTTCCTGCGCCCAGGCCTGAGCCCGGGTCCGGGCCGTGCGCGCCCGCCTGGGCATCCGGGAACTGCCCCGGTGGTTGTAGTTCACTTGCCGGTTTTATTCTCACTTTCGGAGGGAACAACACCCCGGACCTGTCCGTTCTCGAAGGCGAGGGAGCCTTCTTCGGTCGGGAGACGCCTATTTTTATTTTGGTTTCTTATGTGGGGCGCTTTGGGGTCCAGAGAAACTGCCCAACGCTGCGGCAAACCCGAGGAGGAGCCGGCGGCGGCGCCCGGTGCGTGCGGGGGGCCACGGATGCGCACGGCTCTTGGATGACCGCGGGATCGAATTGGGAACCTTCCCGATCGCAGGCGTCGAGCCGTCCCCCGGGAGCCGCTGGGTTGGGGGCGTCCCGAGAAGACCCGCGCGTGGGGCCTGGCGGAGACCTTCCCCTGGCGGAGAGCTGGGGGGTCTTTCGCAGTCCCTGGCCGGTGGGTTTCCTTTCCCGAAAGATGCCCGGGAGCGTCGCTTTCGGGTTTCCCGGGGAAGAGGCGGCGATCCAGCCCGAGTTTCGTTTTCTGCCTCCCACGCGGGGGTAAGCGAGCTACTCGGGGTGGGGGGGCGGCCCTCTCCGCCCCCGATCGCCCCCCGGGGCTGCGCGCCCCCCCGCACCTCTTTTCCCGAGCGAGTCGCGGGCTTCCGCGTGCGCGCGCGGCCACCCTGGAGGGACGCAGCGGGTGCCCCCGGCGTGCGCCCCCAGCTTCGGGCGACGGGGGTAGGGGGTCGTATTTCCAAACTGGGAGGCCCGAGCGGCGTCTCTGGCCGTCTCCCCGCCCCCCTGCCCCCGCCTTCGCCCTCCTTCCCAGACCCCCACGGAGCCGGGCGACGGGGCTCTGCCGAGAAGTGGGGGGCCCCCCAGGGAGGCGGCACCTCCAAGGACCCGCCCCCGCGGCTTGACCCGGCCTCCACGGTAAGTGCGGGGAACGGCCCGGGGTGCGCGCTCCTGCGGGGAGCTGGGTGGCACCCGCTGGCGGCCACCCCGAGCGCGGGGGGTCCCTCGTTCCAGCGGCCCCCGCGGGCCAAGGCTGGGGGCGAGCCGGCGTCGGGCTCCCGGGTCGTCAGGTGCGCGGAGGCGGGCACTGGGGGTCGCGGCACCCCCTCCCACCCCGGGACCCCGCGCTCGCCCGCCGGCCGCCGGCCGCGGTGCGGGGCGGAGCTGGGCGGGGACAGGCTGGGGGCCGCCCCGCCCGGCGCCGGGGCTCGCGCCGGCCCCCGGGGAGGAGTTATGATAATTTCCTTCTCATTAAGGCGCCCGGGTCCCCGGGCTATAGCCGGGACACTCGGCGCGGGCGCGGCTTCCCCGGTCCTCGGCGGCGGCGGCAGCATCGCCACTCGCGGGAGCCGCCGATGCGCGCCCAGTGACCCGGCCAGCGAGGCCCGCGCGCGCGCGGCCACCGTGACCCCGATCTTGGATTTACCGCTCGGGGGGTGGGGGGAGCCCGGCTTGAACTGGCGGCGCTTTTGGGGGACGCCGGACGCCATGTTGTGGAAAATCACCGATAATGTCAAGTACGAGGAGGACTGCGAGGTGAGCCGGGGCGCGGGGGCGCAGCCCGGACCCCCCCCACCGCCCCCACCCCGAGCGCGTCCCGGCCGGGGGCGCGCAGGGGCCGCGGGGCCGAGCCCCGGGCCGAGGGCGCAGCACACGGAGACGCGCCGCTGCCCCGCGATGGGCCGAGGGCGCGCGCGGTGCCCGGACCACCTCCCCCGCCCCCAAAGGCCCCCCGAGCGGGGTGCCCGGGCCCCTCCCCGGCCCGCGGCCGTTCCCGATGTCCAGCCCCCCGCGGGGGGCGCGGGGCCGGGCGCAGCACCGCGCGGCTTACCGGCCGGCCTCTGGCCAAGCGACGCCACCGCCCCGCCGCCCGTTTTCTTGGAAGAAGCCTCCGGTGTGCCACCTCCGACGGGGCAGGGACGACGCACGCGATCTCCGTCCGGAGTCGGGGGAAGAGAGAGCGAGAGAAGGGGGGGGTCCCACGCGGCCGTCCCGGCGGCGACGCCTTCTCGGAGGCTCCCGGAGCGGGCGTGGCACCTGCCCCGCCGCCCTCCTCGGGGGAAGCCCGCAAACAGCCCCAAGTTGGGCTTTCCGGAGAAGTGGGGGGCTGGGGCGTGCTGGGGGGGTGCGCGCGCGCGCGCGCGGAGGCCAGATGGGGCCGTGAGCGCACGGGAGTGCTCCAGCCTGTCGGACAGGTTGGGCTAGAGTTTCGGAGAGTGGGAGGGAGGGAGGCGGCGAGCGGGAAGAGGAGGAAGAAGACGACGACGAAGACGACGCGGGCGGCGGGAGGCGTGCGCGCGGGGCGCCGGGGCGCGCCGGGCGCGGGAGCTCACCGCACCGCGCCGGGGACCCGGAGGGGCAGCCCCCGCGCGCGCACGCCCGGCCGGTCCCGCCAGGGGGCGGCCGCGCCCTGTGGCTCCCGCGCCCGGGCCGCCGGGGGGTTTGGGGGGGGTGGACACAACGCGCCCCGGGTCGTTAGAATGAAGGGGGACGGAGGACGTCGAGCCGGCGGCCGCGGGGCGCCCCGCTCGCGCCGGGCCTAGCCACAGACCGACCGGGGAGGGGGGCGCGTGATTCTTCTCCGCGGCCCGTGTCGCGTCCTGGAGGAGGAGGAGGAGGAGGCGGAGGTCGGGATCCGACCCCCCGAGGGCGTGTTAGGGAGGGTCCCCGGGGCGGGCCCGCGGGCGGTTCCCACCCTTGCGCGCATTCCCCGCGCGCCGCGCCCGGCCCCGCGCACTCGCCATGTGCGGCCTCGTGAGCCAGCGCGCCCCGCACCGCGTGCGCCCCACGCCCGGCCGGTCCCGGGGCTCCGGCGACGCCTGGGCCCGCGCCCCGGGGCTGCCCGGTCCCCCGACGCCCGGCCTGCAGGAGGACCCCTGCCCCCAGGTGCTGCCGCGGGGCCTCCCGCGGGGAGGGCGGGAGGGGAGCCTAGCGCGGCCCCGTCGTCCCGGCAGAGGGGCGCAGGGAGCGCGCGCTCGCCTCCCCCGGGGTCCCCGCCTTCGCCGCAGCGGGGGGCTTCGCACTAACCGGGTGTCGCTCCAACCTCTCCGTCCCCAGGACCGCCACGACGCGGGCAGCAATGGGAACCCGCGGCTGCCGCACCTGGCCTCGGCCGGCCAGCACCTCTACAGCCCCGCGCCGCCGCTCTCGCACGCCGGGGTGGCCGAGTACCAGCCGCCCCCCTACTTCCCGCCCCCCTACCAGCAGCTGGCCTACTCGCAGTCGGCCGACCCCTACTCGCACCTGGGCGAGGCCTACGCCGCGGCTATCAACCCCCTGCACCAGCCGGCGCCCGCCAGCAGCCAGCAGCAGGCCTGGCCCGGCCGCCCGGCCCAGGACGCCGCCGGCCTGCCCGGGCACCACGCGCGCCCCGCCGGGCTGCTCCCGCACCTCTCGGGCCTGGACGGCGGGGCCGTGAGCGGCCGGCGGGACGCCTACCGTCGCTCGGACCTGCTGCTGCCCCACGCGCACGCGCTGGACGCCGCGGGCCTGGCCGAGAACCTGGGGCTCCACGACATGGCCCACCAGATGGACGAGGTCCAGGTGCGTCCGGCCCCCCTGCCTGCTGCCCAGTCCCCCGCCGGGCTTGACCCCCACGCCGGCCGCCAGGCTCTTAGAAAAACTTTTCTCATTTTTTTTTTCTCCATCCCCCAGAACGTGGAGGACCAGCATCTGCTCCTGCACGATCAGACGGTTATTCGCAAAGGTAGGTAGGTAGGTGGGTGGGGGGGGGGTGGAGGGGGCGTCGTCTTGGGGGAGAGGTGGCCGGTGGCCCCGAGGGGGACGCGGCTGCTGGCCGGAATTTAGGGTGAGGCTCTCAGGAGCAAGGAGGGCGTTTTCTTGCAGGTGGGGCTCTGCCGCCTCTTACTGGCTCCATCCGGGGTCCTGCCCTTGGTGGTTTTTTTTTTTTTTTCCTCTGAGGAATGTGGTTAACACCTGGAAATTCGGAGGTTTCTTTTTTTCTTCTTCACAACGTTAGCGCAGCATTCTCAGTGAGCGAGTTGAGCTCAAGCTGTGGTTTAAGTGGAAATTAACATCGGCTTATGTTTGCAAGGAAGCTTCTCTCTCTCTCTCTCTCTCTCTCTCTCTCTCCAATTTGCATTTTGTGACTTTGGGGGTTCAGACAAGACCCGCCTTGTAGGAGCGCGCTCTGCCTTGTGCAAGGAAAAGTTTGGGAACGGTTCTGCCCGCCGCCGAGAGAGATTGGCCGCGGAGTGCAGGGAAGCCAGGTCAGGGCTGGGCTTTATGCAGGATCAGGGAACTGGGATTTGGGGAATTGGATTAGCCGCTGGGTGGGGCGTGTTCCTCTGAACTGGAGTTACGTGCCGCCCCTCGGTGACTTGACATTAAACAGCTTAAAATCTTGTGGCAGAGATGGCTCTGAAAGGAAGACTCAGAAAATCAGCCTAATTCCCCAATACTTTGTACAGACCAGGTTTGTTTGTATTCCTGAGCTCTTCCTGGGCCGTTCCCGCTGGAAGGTTTGGCAAAGGCTCCCAGGGCTCCCGGGACTCTGATTGCTCATGGCATGAGGCGACGAGAAGCCCGTTGTTTTTTGCATTGAAGTAGTTTTTTTTTGTTGTTGTTGGGTCTTTTTTTTTTTTTAAGCGCACACACATGTTCTAATTAAACCGAATTTAACAGTGGCTGGAAACTGAAACCCTTTCTGCTCCAAGCTTGACTAATTAAGTTGCCAAGGTGTTAACTTGTGAATTTCAGACTCCATTATCTTGGAAGAACATGGCTTTTACGAAATCTGTTCGCAATTCTGCAGCGTGAGCTCTTTGGGGTTTGGCGGCTGGTTTTGCAAGGCGGCTGCTGCCCGGTGGTGACCCACCCACCGCCTCTTGCCCTGGCAGGTCCGATTTCCATGGCCAAGAATCCCTTGAGTGTCCCGTGTCAGAAGGAGCTGGTGGGCGCCGTGATGAACCCCAGCGAGGTCTTCTGCTCTGTCCCCGGAAGACTGTCCCTGCTCAGCTCCACGTCGAAGTACAAAGTGACGGTGGCCGAGGTCCAGAGACGACTCTCCCCGCCCGAGTGTTTAAATGCCTCTTTACTGGGCGGTGTTCTCAGAAGGTACACCTGGGCACACGTGTGTGTGTGGGGGGGGGGGGGGCAGCAGGGTGGGGGGGTGTGGAGCAAAGCATCTGGGAGGTATTTTTAACATTTATGTAACATTTATACCTCACACTGAATCCTAATTGGCCCGGGCGGGTTTTAGTACATCTCTTCCCTTTTAAGAAAGTGTCAGCAGTGGAAGGGAGTGCAAAGACCACGCAGTAAATGATTTGGCTGGCGTCGGGTGCCACGGTGGGAGGGTGTCGTGCATTGAGGGAAAGGCGTCTGGGGGGTTCTGCTCCTCCGGTTTTGGGTGAACGTGGCCTGTGCTGGAATCCGGCTTAGTGCCATTTCTGCTCAGGCTGAAGGGAGGGTCGGGGCTCTGCGTGGCCATGCGGTCGCACAGGGTTTGGGGGGAATTTCAGGCGTGAAGGCCGCGTTCTGGGGACCCGGGTGTCGGGGGGGGATTGGGGGTGTGCTCACGAGCCACGCTCCACTTTTTGTGCAGAGCCAAATCCAAAAACGGAGGCCGGTCGCTGCGTGAGAAGCTGGATAAAATCGGGCTGAACCTTCCAGCCGGCCGGCGGAAAGCAGCTCACGTCACGCTCCTGACGTCTCTGGTGGAAGGTCAGTGGCTGGCTGGGTCCCTGCTTGGTGTCGCCGTCTGTGCCTTAAAGGGTCTCTGAAGAAGCGGCAAAAAAAAATTGCCAGAGCACTGCGGGGAGGGTAACTTCCTTGTAAGCCTTGTCTCCAGCACCCCATAGGGTGCCCCCTGGCCCTGCCAGGAGTGATCCCGGAGTACAGCTGGGTGCTGCCCCCCAGCCCCCCACAAAGTGAAAGACAGTAACCTCAGGTCTGTCACTTAGAGAGAGGAAAGTCATTTGAATTTGTCACACTTGGGTGCAGTGAATCGGTAATTGTATTAAAAGAAGTTGACGACAGATCCTGGTTGGTTTAGGTCGTTGGAATTGGCCCAGAAAACCAAAGCTTACTCAGGAATTGGTTTGCTTTCTTGCTTGACATGGGGGCAACACCCGGCGATGCTTGGGGCTCGCTCCTGGCTCTGTGCTCGGGGCGTGTAAGACAGGTGGCCCCCCGGGCCCTGCGACCTCCAGCCCCTAAAATCGGTTTCTTTGGTCTAGGATTCATCCTCCGGGATACTTGGCCTGTCCTAGTGAAATGAATCCACTTTTGAAATGGCCGTTGGGTTTAAAAAATGAGTTTAGGTTAAGACTCACGTGCCTTGGGTCTGGGCGACCCTGGCTTGGTCCCCAGCACTGCTCCTGGTCCCCGGAGTGCTGCTAGGTGTGAAATATCTGAATATCCGAAATAATCGGGGTGCAAAGATCCGTTGCGTGGAGAACTGGCCTGGAGTGCTGGACTGGGTGTGTATAGGGGCCGGTTCCCCCCTGAGCCGGGCCTGCGGTGCCTGCCTGCGGTGGTCTTCCCGCCCGGGAGAGGCAGTTGGAGTTGGGGGGTGCTTCTGGCTCTTCACGGCAGCCCCATCTCGGAGGGTTGTGGGGACCGGCGTCCGTGATAATGCCCTGTGTTCAGTGGAGCTGGCCCAGTCACCCACCAACCCTTTGTTCCATTTCTCCCGGGAAGAGAAACTGTCCTGGGCTGGTTGAGGGGGACCCTCTCCCTGCCCTTGAGCGAGAGGTGACCGCAGCCGTCCCCTGAATGGGGCGCCCGCCCCCCTTGGCACATCTGGAGTGCTGCCAAGAACTGCACACAGCTCTTAGAAGGAGGGGCGAAGAAAAAGTGAAATGATTATTTTTTTTCTGCCCAAACCATCGCGGTGGGCGCGGAGAAAAGGGGGGAGGGTCTGCATCCAGGCCTCACCACGCTCGCTCGGTTCCCTGGGCACTTGCCGCCCTGCTCCCGGGAACTTGGCAGCGCCTGCCTCCACCTTTTGCACGGATGCCTTTGGAGGCAGGGCCGGGAGGAGAAAGGCTCCCCGTGGGGGCACAGCTGTCCCCGCCTGGAGAATGCCCGTCAATGGAGCTCGAGCGAATTCCCGGAGCAGCCGGGCACGAGCCCCTGAATCAGAAACTGCCGGGACAATGGTTCTGTGGCTGAGCCCGTGGGGGGGGTGCGGGGGGTGCGGGCAGGGTGAGAATCTGCCATCTGGGGTTTGGAAAGGCGCCAGGCCTTGTGCCGGGGGCCACAGAAGGGCACCTGTGCCCAGGGCGGCTCCAGGCCTGGGACGGGGGTGGGGGGTCGGGTGGTCCGAGTTGGTGGTTGGGGTGCGTCCCATGACATGAATGTCTCAGACCTCCGGGAAGGGACACCCGGAGTTGAAGCCCAGCACCCCCCGGGGAGCCCTGGGCACAGCAGGGTAGGGGTCAGCACCAAAGGCCCTTCTGGCCCTTGGACTCCTTGAAATCGAACCTCCAGGCCTGGTGCTGTCATCTAGCAGGTGAAGTACCTGCATGGTGGCATGCCCCCACGGTCCCCGACAGATGTCCTCAGGAGTGATCTCGGAGCGCCGCCAGGAGTAGCCCCTAAACTCTTTCCTAGGAAGTGGCTCCCGTTTGGGGCCAGCCCCGAGCAGGTGTCCTGATCCCCTAATCCCTAGGCTGGAAGTTGCCCTGAGCACTGCTGGGTGTGGCCCCCAAACCATAAATGTTCCTATTTCTTCGCCCCTGGCGGTTTTCTGAGCCAAGAAAGTGTGGGTGTGTCCTGATGTGTTGAGGCAGCGTGCCTGGCCGGGTTCAGGTAGATCCCAGGGGTGGGTGCCCCCACCTCTCTCTGGAAAGGGGGCTTGGCGGCCGGGTGCTTATCCGTGTCTAACTAAAGAAGGGATGTGGGGATCCTTGCAGTGGGGACGGACGGGGTACGGGGTGGGGGGGGGAGAATTCTGCACCCTAAGGTCTGGCCCTCCTGGTTGCAGGGGAGGCAGTCCATCTGGCCCGGGACTTCGCGTATGTCTGCGAGGCGGAATTCCCCAGCAAGCCTGTGGCCGAGTATCTCACCCGACCTCATCTCGGCGGCCGCAACGAGATGGCAGCGAGGAAGAGCATGCTGCTGGCGGCACAGTGAGTAACAACACATGCGTTGGGCGCAGGGTGTGGGGTGTGGAGCCCACATGGTGGACACAGGCGCCCCCATTAGTTTTTTTTTTTTTGAGTCACCCGGCAATGCACAGGGATTACCCCTGGCTCTGCACTCAGGAATTATTCCTGGTGGTGTTCGGGGGACCCTATGGGATGCTGGGAATCGAACCCGGATCAGCCGTGTGCAAGGCAAATGCCCTCCCCGCTGTGCTATGGCTCCAGCCCCCAGTTGTTTCTTCCGGGCCTGTTTCCAAGACGGGGCCGGGGCCGGGGCACTGTTCGAAGTCAGGCAGAAACGCTTCTTTGGACTACAGTTACGAGTCGAGGAGACCGTGCAGCAGAGAGGGTGCTTGCCTTGCACGCCGCTGACCTGGGTTCGGTTCCCAACACCCCCAGATGATCCCCCGGAACGCCCTGAGCACCTCTGGGTGTGCCCCCCCCCAAAAAAAAACAGAATTGGCTTTTAGCTGCTTTTGTATTTGCTTCTGCTTCAACCAAAAGCGTTGTGGAGAGCAGTTTTTGCCAAATCTCGCGAGGAGACTCTTCTGGGACTTCTCAGGAGGCTCATTGAATGTGACGTGCTGTCAGCGGGGACCCTCCGGGTGGCCAGTGGCGAGTTGCTTCTCAGATCCGGGCAAGCGAGGCGGAAACCGGCCTCAGGACATGGGGCGAGAGGGAGCGAGCGAGCCAGTGAGCAAGCAAGGCAGGCCTGGGTGTCAGCAGCAGGCCAGGGACCGAGTGGCTTTTACTGGAAGCTCCTGGGCGGGACCCTGCTGTCTCTTATCAGTCCAGTCACAAGGTGACCTGTTGATGGGGATTACCCTTATCTCCGCTGATAGCAGGGACCCTTCTGAGCCAGGGCAGGAAGTTCTGCATCTCCCAGGCAGCAGTGGCTAAGCTGCCCTTGGCCTCCCTCCTTATGGGGGGAGGGGCATGTCCCCCCCCCCCAGGTACCGCCCCCGGGCTTCGGCTGGGCTTGGGGGGGGTGCTCTTCCCAGCGCCGAGCTGGAGTGAGCTCACGGCTTCTACCTCGCTCCCTCCCCAGGCAAGTGTGTAAGGAATTCACGGACCTCCTCAATCAAGACCGAACCCCGAACGGCAATAACCGGCCCACGCCGGTCTTGGAGACCAACATCCAGAACTGCTTGTCGCATTTCAGCCTCATCACCCACGGCTTTGGCAGCCAAGCCATCTGTGCCGCCGTGTCGGCCGTCCAGAACTACATCAAGGAGGCCCTGGTGGCCATAGACAAATCCTACCTGAACCCCGGGGACCAGAGCCCCCCGGACTCGGGCAAGGGTCTGGAGAAGATGGAGAAGCACCGGAAATGAGACGCTGGACTGGGGCAAGACCCGGGAGGAGGAGGAGGAGGAGGAGGAGGAGGACCCGGACACGCCTCCCCCAGCCCCAGACCGGGACGCCCCGTCAATTCAGGGACCGAGCTGGTCACCCACCTTCCCACCCAGAAGGCCTGGTGCCGAGGGGCTGCCTGCTGACCCCCGGACAAGTGGCCGCCGCCTCTCCGCGTCACGCGTCCGTTTGATTTTTGTCTGCGTCCCGTTCCTCCTTCCTCTCAAAAGTGGTGCTACGCGTTTTAGAACCTTTTAAAGAAATTCCCAGGCCTGTCCGTGGGGAGGCGGGGAGTGGGGGGTGGCCCCCGCCCCCCGGAGGCGGTTTGGCTTTGGGGTCAGTGTTAAACGGGAAGGGCCAGCTTCTGTGTCCACTAAATATTTATCTTGAGAAAGTATTTATCGCGCCTCTTCCGACGCCTGCCTGCGTCCCGCGGGAGACCGCTCCGACGTGCCTGACGATTCGCCGTCCTTCCAGCCCTGCCCCAGGGGACCTTGGGTTTGAGGAAACTTGTAGAAGCAAAAGCCTGCTGATTTATGTGTTCTTCGTCTTTTTATTTTTTTAAAAAAAACGTCGAGAGAGTGCTCTTCACTTGGGAGAATCTTAATGACAGGGTCCTTAAGGTACTGAAGCTTTATTCGCATATTTATTTCACAGTTCGGTGTCTGTTGGAGGAAAACTTGAAACGGGCGGGCACGGAGGCATTTTCATTTTTTTTTTTTTGGTTTGTTTTTTTTTTGTTTTGTTTTTGGTACTGCCTGTCACCCCATGTCCCAGAGGAGGCTTTGTGGGTTTTATTTTTTTTTTTGTCGTTTTTTTTTTTTTTTTTTTTGCGATGCTGTGTCAAGTGTACAGATGTTATTTATGTGTAATTTAACGGGGTCTGTAAATAGGAGCTGCACTTCGTAAGCCTTTCAAGACTCGGGTTTGATTGTAATTAACTTCTAAAGGTGATGGGGCCATTGACGACACATCTTGAGCTCGTCCACAGGACATGGGACTGGGGGGGAGGGGCAGAGGCATTCCTGGGTGCGTTTCTGGATGCGGAAGATTCTTGGTCACAGAGCGGTCCCTGGGGAGTCTGTCTTGCTGGGAGGGGTGGAGGCATTTGTGGAAATGGAAGATTCCTGGTCACAGAGCGGCCCCCCAGTGAGTGTGCGATTCCGTGAAGGGGGCTGGAGCTGACCTCCACGCCCGTCAGTGACCCCCCCCCCCCAGATTCTTGCTGTGTATATGAAGCCTGTACAATAAAGACTATTCTCGATAGAAGGCTTGGCCGTCTGCTGCTAACTTGATTTCTTTTTTGTCTCTGAGGAGTGACGGTGCCGATGGAGGGCCGGTCACTTGGGGTCCAAGGGAAGGGCCGCTTTCATTTTCTGTCCTTGGCGGGACGGACCGTTACCTCCCCTGCTCTTCCGAGTCTTGAGTCTCGGGACACCCTTCCCGGCCCAGGAGATGTTGGGGGCATTTGGTCCTTGGCCTCTTGCAGGCAGCTCCACTGAGCCCCCAGTACTGGCCAGCTGCTGCCTGTTTTTTTTTTCCTTTCGTTTTTTTGGGCTGCACCCAGTGATCAATTAATTGCTCAGGGCTTGGTCCTGACTCTGCACTAAGAAATACAACTGGTGGTGCTCTGGGGACCCTACAGGACGTGGGGTCGCGAACCTGGGTCCGCTGTGTGCAAGGCAGGTGCTTTAGGGACTCAACTATTACTCCGGCTCCTTTAAAAAAAAATTCTTTTCTTCCTTGGTGGTGCTCAGGGCTGCTTCCAGCTCAGTCCGTGCCCAAGGATCACTCTTGGTCTTGCCCTGGGGACCCTGCGTGTGCTGGGCATTGATTCAGTGCCCACTACACGCACACCGAGTGCCCTCAGCTCCAGTATCTTGGACCTGTGCTGCCGGCTGTGTTTTGTTGGGCCGTACCCAGTGGTCAGCCGTGCTCGAGGCCAGCAGCCTGCCCACTGCACTCAGCCTCAGCCCCACGCCGCTTCCAGAGTTTGAGCATGGTGGTAGGAAATTCCCGTGGGGGACCAGGCATTCGGTCAGACGCCCAGCGCTGGGCAACGGGCTCCTATTGTCTGCACCCAAAAGCAAACTCCCGTCACTGCGGATGGAGGAAAGGACAGTGCAGGGCCGGGTGGGGCTCAGTTCAGTGCCGGGTGTCCACGGACCTCCGCGGGCAGTGAGGGGACTTGATTCTCGCCCTCTGGCCGGGCAGGTCCGCTAGGAAGTGATCTGTTTACCGTTGGGCTCTGCGGCCGGGCTTCAAAGGGCCGTGAGAGCAGGAAGGGTTCCCACATGGGATCAAGTCACTGCTGTTCGCAGCCCCATAATCCCTAATTCATAACTCACAGAGGCGCAGCGATGCCCGACTTAATGTTGGCATTGGATGTTATTAAGTAATTTAAACTCTGCCAACCTAATACTTTGCTGCTGGCAGCGGGCCCTGGCCACGGAACGTTCCCATTAAGTTGGATTTATCTGCCTGAGATGTCAGGACCACAATCGCGGGGCTCGAGATCCCGGCCCAGAGGTCTGGGCTCGGCAGGTCGTTCTCACTCGCGCGGGGCGGCTTATCAGCATCTTAACCGGCTTTGGGCTCGGAGCTGGCTTTCAGGAGCGGTGCCGAATTGCAACGCAGACAATGTTCTGGAAACGCCCCAAAGTCAACCGACAGTGCCAGTGAGTCACCAGCAGGGCCGGGGCCTGCCTCCTGCTGAGCTGTGCTTTCTGCACAGCTGCCTCCGGTCGGGTCGGGGGCCCTGGAGCCTGCGCCTCACTGGGCTTGGCCCTTTGCAGCGTGCGTGTGTCCACACGTGTGTGTGCGCGCCACCTCAGGACGGAGCATTGACCCTGCCTGAGTTTTGCCCCCTGCTCCCCACCCCCCCATGCCTGCTCTCCTCAACCCCCACCCCCCATGCCCTGGGCCGGGATGCAGCCACTGACTGCTCCCACCTGTGCCCGCCTCGCTGTGCTGCGTCTGCCACTCACCTCTCTCCCCAGGGCTGTGCCATCTGCAGTAGGGACCCTCAGTCAGCGGGATGCTGCGGGGCATCCCGGGGGTAAGAGGGGTGAGAGGTGCGGCAGCTGCACTGCCCCGTCCCCGGGACCTCGGGGTCGGTGTCCCCCTGGCCAGTCAGCCCTACAGCACTATTCAACAGGCTTGGAGGGATGGGACATGCCGGGACTTGGGCGGGCATGGGGGCACTGGGGAACTCCAAAGCCTGAGAAACCGGACGGAGCGATAGCACGGCCGGGAGGGTGTTTGCCTTGCAAGCGGCCAACCCGGGTTCGATTCCCAGCATCCGCATAGGGTCCCTGAGTACCGCCAGGAGTAATTTCTGAGTGCAGAGCCAGGAGGAACCCTTGTGCATCACCGGGTGTGACCCAAAGAGAAAAAAAAAAAGCCCGTGGGGGCTGGAGCGATAGTACAGCAGGTAGGACGTTTGCCTTGCACGCAGCCGACCCGGGTTCAATTCCCAGCATCCCATATGGTCCCCCGAGAACCGCCAGGAGTGATTCCTGAGTGCAAAGCCAGGAGGAACCCCTGAGCATCGCCGGGTGTAACCCAAAAAAGCAAGGAAAAAAAAATGCCTGTGAAACCAAGCAGGGGTTGGGGGGGGGGGTCCCTTCCCGGTGGGGGTGGAGCTCCATAGGGGAGCGAGGCCAGCCTCCCTCCCTCTTCCTCATGCTGGGGGCAGAACGGGGCGGGGGTGTGCCTTTGAGGTGGCCCTCCCTTCCTCAGGAAAAACAGGACCTGGCTGGCCAGGGCCACGAGCAGGAGCACACTGTCCCCCCTGGTGGGCAGTGCCCCCCACCAAGGTCTTCCTGCCCTGCTCAGGCCCGCGGGCAGAGAGCCGCTGAATCCCCACGGCTGGAGACCGCAGCAAGTTGGCCAGGTGGGCCGTGCCATGTTGAGGAAGTGACTCTTCGCCTTCCCGCACCCGTCATCCCGGCTCCCGTCTACCTTCCCGAAGGCCCCTCCTGGCCCTCCTGCCCCAGGCCCACCCACGCTGCCACCCTGGGTCCTAGAATGCCCTCGTCACCCCCAATTTTAAAAGAGGGCGCCAGTGTGGGGCGCCCGGCAGAACCCTGTTGTTTTTGGCCTGGCCGTCCACCCCGACTCCCCTGCCAGTGTGGGTAGTAACGTGACGGGGCGGGCGGGGGTGGGGGGGGGAGTTTGCAATCCCAGTGGAGTTCAAAGGCCTCTGTCCAGGGGGTGGGGGCGGGGTGGGGGTGTCTGGGTGCTGCTCCTCTGGGTGGTTGACTGGGCCCTGCAGAGTCCCTGGCCTCTCCCCCTTTCCCAGGAGGCCTTGGTGGTAAGAGAGGACCCCCGCGGGGAACACCAGCTGGTGGGTGGGGGCCGGCTGGGGTGTGTGGAGCCGATTCCCAAAGCTCCGACCAGGGAAGCCTTCGCGACTTCGCTCCTAAGAAGGGGCTTCGTGGGCTGGAGCGATAGCCCAGCGGGGAGGGTGTTTGCCTTGCACACGGCCGACCCGGGTTCGATTCCCAGCATCCCATAGGGTCCCCTGAGCACCACCAGGGGTAATTCCTCAGTGCAGAACCAGGAGTAACCCCTGTGCATTGCCAGGTGTGACCCAAAAAGAAAGAAAAAAAAAGAAGGGCTTCATGTCCTTTTGGGGGACAGTGACTCCGAACGCTGCTCAGGGCTCTCTCCTGGCTCTGTGCTCGAGGGTCACTCCTGGCTGGGCCTGCCGTGAGCATGGCAAGTGCCCTCCCCGCTGTGCTCCCCGCGCCCTGCGGCGGGTGGTGGGACCAGGCCAGGGGAGAGGGGTCGCAGAGAGAGGCGGGCTGCTCTGAGTTGGAATTTCCAGCCTCCGAGTCTGGGACGCTTCAGTTCTGTCTTTTTAGGGAATGTTGGTCTTGGTCAGGGAGAGCAGCTGCGGCCTGGCCGGGCCGGGGATGGAGCGTCCGTCTGTGTCCCCTGCTTGGAGCCGCCTCCCTGGCCTTATGTTTTGGGTTGG